ATAAATACTGCTACCCGAGGGCTCTCGGGGCTGGCAGTTGCTCAGACGTCTTCCCTGCGTCTCCCATCATTTTTCAATTGCCAGTCCATCACATTTATTTCTACTTGGAATCCATTTCTGGACTTTGTGCTTGAGGTGGGAAAAAATGAACCATTGACTTTTGGTTTTACCAGTTAGATAGATTTGTTGTGATAGAAATGGCTGGTTTATACTATTATGTAAAAGTAAAAGTTGAGCTTTGATGTTAATGCCTTATTCTACTGCACCAAAGGGAGTTGGTACAATGCCTTTTCTTTCTTTTTCCTCTTCTTTTCTGCACTCTTCCCTTCACTGTTTTTCCCATTATTTACTTTTGTATTTTCTGTGTATGCTACATTGTAAACTCATAAACAAATTTTGGGGGGGGGGGAGGAAATGTAATCATGTGACTGCAACATGCTACAAACCGCTGTAAATGCAGGCTGGTTGTTGAGTGCTCAAAATGGGGTCTTGTGACCATGGGCGACCGGCAACCATTGGAACTTCAGAACTGGATTGTAAGTAACCCCAGGGAGGTCTGTCCTGATTTCAAATAGTCGCTAAGCAATTGGTTGTAAGCAGGGGTGAGCTGCTGGGGGTTTGCAGGGGTTCAGAAGAGCCCCTAGCTAAGATTCTGTGCAGTTTGGAGAACCCCCAAATCCCACACCTGGCTGGTCCTGCCTACCCTGACTCTCCCAGGAATCCCCACGCAGCCCATTTTGGATGCAGGTAAGTGCAGGGTATGCGTGGAGGCTCAGGGGAGGGCGAAAAATAGGCCTCCTGGAAGTTCAGGAAGTCTGAAAATGGGCTTGTTTCTGGCTTCCAGAATGCAGAGAGGCCATTTTCATCCTCCTGGAGGCTTGAGAAAATTCTCTGGAGCCCTGGAAGGGCAAAAATGCCCCCCCAGGAGGGATGGTGGCTGACTAGGCCATGCACACCATGGCCACACTCACCCAGCAACTGGGCAGAGAACCTGTTGCTAAAAATTTTGAGGCCCACCCCTGGTTGTAAGTTGAGAACTACCTATAAGTAGCCAAACTACAATGCTCTGTTTGTTGAGCAAAACAAAGGATGAGACACATCAGTTTATGTTGTATGAAAGTTTGCAGTTTGCATGGATCATTGGAATATTTATGTCTTATTGTGTGAAATTACTGATTACAGATTTCTCCTCTGCATGAATTAAAAAATCTGAAAAGCAAAATATGTCAATAGTTATGAAACAAACAACTATAGGTAAAATGTTAAAACACATGCAAAAATTTTAGATGACCCCATTATGGAAAATATAGGTGTTGTACTGTCCTAGTCATGTGTTTCTTCTTGAAGGGGGCAATATTTTTTTAAAAAAAATTGCTGAATTACTCTGAAACAGTGTAGTAAAATTGTACAAAGGGCAAAAAGACATCCTAGTGAAGAGTAGACTCTTCGGAAGACTCTTCTGAAGGACAAAACAAAAGGAATGTCATAAACTTATGTTGTGATTTATAGGCCATCCTTCTGGATGATGCTTGTAAAATTAGACTCTCAGAATCACAGATGAGCAAATTTCTGGGAAATCAGAAAAAAAATGTACCCATTCCATTTCTGAGCTTGCCAAGGCTTAGTATTACTACATGCCAGGCTCAGTAGACAATGTTTGTAATTTGGAAACAATGGCTACCACCTGACAGCATCACTGATGAATTCAGGTGAATCTTTATATATCTGTTTTCATCCGCTTAAGGCAATCATTTACTCTTTTTCTTGGTTGTTTTTTTCCCCCTAGAAACATCCTTTATCGACTTGATGACAGGACACACCAATTTTCAGTACTCCTGGAGGCAGCGGAGCACTGGAAGTTACATCAGTCAAATGAGACTCTACAAGCTATCTTGTCAGAAGTGTTCAACAGTTTCAAATCAGCTCAGGTTTGTTTCAAAGCAGGACTTGAGGTCTTTGAGGTGACCTCAATGGGAAACCAATGATGAACTTGGCTTTTTGGCATCTGCACACACGCCACTAAGAACCTTGTTTACATTTTCCAGAAGAAGACTTGGGATCACACTTGAAATTATATAGGGTTGAAATCTTTCTTTGGTTTCTCAATTTTTTTAAAAAAAGGAATCCTTATTTCAAGATAGTCCCAAAGGTGTTTTTTTTTTAAGAGGCAAGTCCAGGTGCTTCTTGAAAAAGCACCTTTGGGACAACCATGACTTGGATGACCAAGAATCTCCATAGACATTTGTTTCAAGGTATTTTATTGTATCCCTAGATAATGCTAAAGCAGCCTTTTGCACTGTTGAGAGTTTATTGCGTATTTCTATTTTTGGAATATGTGCATATGGATAGCTGTATATGTGTTGATAGATCAAGAACTAAATGAGGAAGATTTGAAATTGGATAACTAGAAAATAATTCCACAGTTGATCAAAGCTTCAAGAAGAAATTAATGCGCTTTTATCTTTCCTTCCTACTGCATTTCTAATTGCACACAGAAAACACATTGAAATAATCCTTCCCATTTCCATTCATGTCCTATATGGAATACCTGAGCTTCCATCTGTTCCCTTATTTGCAATCATTGGTCACATGTGGCTGCTTTTTGTAAATACTATTTATATTTTTAAATATAAGGCCAATATGCAAGTGCATTGACTAGCATTTGCCTAACGTTGCCATTCCTCAGCAAAAACCATTTGTGAAACATTCATTCAAAAATATCTTATCTATATGTGGCACTGGCTATTTCTATTCAACAGGAGCCATTTGTGAACAGCAGCCATGAAATCTGATAATATGTGGTTGATCATGGATGTTTTAAGAATTCATAGAACACCTGATTCACCAACACCTGATGGTTGATTCACAAGTGAACTTTAATTGAACTGGACCTGCTGCAGAAGACTCATGACTGAATAGAATGAAAAATGAAATGTCAGTGGTGTTATCCTATAGTAGGAATGTCAAACTTGATATCATTGAGGCCGCATCAGGGTTGTGTTTGACCTTGGGGGGCTGGGGTGGGCATGGCCAACATGACATCACTCGTGTTGGGGGCACCTGTGGTGGCCCGAGCTCTCTGCCAGCAAAAACAGGCTTCCAAGTTCTGTTTTTGCTGGCAGAGTCACCGTGGGCCAGTCCTTTGTTGTTTCCAGGGTGGCCCCATGGGTGAGATCTAAGCAACCCCCGGGCCTTGAGTTTGACACCCTTGTCCTACAGGAAACAAAAGAAGTTAATCTTTCTTATTATTTATGCACAATGTTCATAATATCATATACAGGTCTGAAAGAAAATTAGAGACCAACCATTGTGAAAGAGGCAATAATCCCTAACTACACCCAGATAGAACTGTGCCTGGTTCTTAACTTTTCCTTCACTATATACTCCCTTTAAATACCTTTTGTGGCCATGGACCATGGTCAGGGACCATCAAGATTTAACTCAAGATTTAAAGCACTAGATTGTATCAAATATTCATGGACCTCTGGTGATAACGTTGCGGCCTCCCAGGGTTTTGCGGACCACAGGTTGAGAACCATGTCCCCATGAGATATCCTAGACAACTATAGATGAAAAATAAGTCGCATAGATCAGGAAACTGGAATAAAAAATGTGTCTTGACAGCTTTTTGCTGAAACTCTCCAAGAAAAAATTAAGGAATGGGTAAAAAGAATCAAGGTATTCAAATACTGAAAATATTGTAGCTCTTCCCATGCTGTTTCTGAAACCAGAGTCACATAGACATCAAGACATATGCTTTCCCATCAAAGCCATAGCCTTAACTATGCATATCCTGAAAGCAGAAGAAAACTCTCTTTATTGTGTGACAAGTAATATTGCATTCCAATGCCTTTATTAATTCAGAGTGAAGCATTAGGTTTATGCGGCTGCCTGGATTTGAAAGGAAAATATTCCGTTTTTTCTCCTTCAGATCCAGAGCAAATGAGATTAAGTTGCATTAAGTTTAATGAAAAATTGCATGAACCCATAGCATGGTCACATGTAGGCTATCCCCAGAAAGCATCCCTTAACTTGCCATGAACTACACCTGTGATTTATTTTGATGGGGAAACAAGTTTTCTAGAGACTTCTGTTCAATCATCCTGGAAAAGTAGCAAAAGAGATAAATGTGACAACGTGTGTGCAAGAGAGAAGGGGAAGGAAGGACCGGGGGTGGGGGTGGGGGCAGAAAATCACTCAGAAACGCCTCATTCTTTGTAATATAATTTAAAGGAAATTGTCTTCTGATTCATTTTTGGTGAGATAGGATCCTCCAGAATTCTGACTAGGAAGCTCAATTTAAATATAAATGAAATGAAGTTAACTTATTTTTTTGTCCTGCTCTTCCCCATGCTACATACGGTATACATCAAATGGTGCACTTAATTCAGAAAAGAATTGCGTAGCTTTCCCTTTGCTTTTGAGCACAATTCATAACCATGGGTATTGAAAAATTTCCATTGATTTCAATGATATTTTCAGCTAAGTAAGCATCCTCCAGCTTGCATGCTTTGAATGAAATCTCTTCTGAGGCTATTGGGGTGACATCAATATAGCAGGATTCAACTAAATCATATTAGGCAACGTCATTTGATTTCATGTTGGTATTGACTCAAATATAGATTCAAATTTCTCTTAAAATAATACTTCAGCAGTTCATCCAGATTCCTGAGGCATTCTTTATTGCTTTGTCATAGGTCATATGCCAGTATCTAGTAAAATGAACGCAGTAGTGAATAGTTCTAACAACGAGGAAACTTAATAGCTTATATATTTGTGTGTTTAAAGTGTATGAAAATGAAATTATAATAAATAAGCTAACATGATTTATAGTGCCTATTTCAGAGGGAATCATAAAAAAACATATACTACAATCAAATCAGACAAGTAATAAGTATACCAGAGAATTGTCATTTGGCCACTAAATTCATGATAGATTGTAAATTGTTTTGAATAATTTAAGGGAAAAACTTAAAATCTAATGTTTAGAGTCATAAACTGTTTAACCTGAAAATTTTTTATGGAAATAAGGAGAAACTTTCTGACAGTGAGAACAATCAACCACTGGAACAGCTTGCCTTCAGAAGTTTTGGGAGCTTCATCTCTTGAGACTTTCAAGACGAGATTGGACTGCCATTTGTCAGAAATGGTGTAGGGTCTCCTGCTCGGGCGGGGGTTGGACTAAATTGCCTTCCAACTCTGTTAATTTGTAATAAAAACAACTATAAGATCTTTTTTCCTCTCTCTTCATTCTAAAACATAAGAAAAAGGCATATCTGTCCACCTACCTATTTAATCACCCATCATAGGTGACTCTGTTTAAGCAAGGGACGAGCAAACCTTCACTGAAGCATAAATTGCTTTATTGATCCATGCAGGAAGCAAACACAGACCTCAAGAAAGGAGGCATTACAGTTCCCTTTTTATAAATGTTTGCAAATTAATTACAATTAATTTGGCTTTAATTCACTGATTGTGTTTCACCATTATGCATTAATAGGTGAGAGAATAAGTCAGGATAGGTATGTAATGGACTTTTATGCAAGATACTTTTTAAAAACAATAGGCCAAAGAAATTACATCTGAAATTGGTCTGTTCCTCTAGCCATGACCTACAAACCTCAAATTATATCTTAATCCTTTCTTGGCCTAGTTTGCATTCTTGCAGTTAGCACTTTGATTAACTTAACCAAATGTAAGATTCTGAGTATTTCCAGTGCCTAATTATTTATTGCTGAGCTATGTTTTACTGCACATAAAAAAAACAACAGGCACACTGTTTTATTAAATCACGTTGTTGCAATGACCAAAGCTGACTTTTTTTATAACTATAACCCTGGCCTTGACCAATACATTTTGTTTTGGTTTGGGGTTTTGTGGTTGTTTTTTTAATCAGTACTGATGTCCAAGTGGCTGGATTTGGTCTGTGGGATCAGTGCTGATCTTTCCGTTATGATTCAGGACAAAGCATAAGTAACATATTTCATATCTGCCTGTGAAAACAGGATTTATGGAGCTACTGGCTATCACTCATGGTCACCCCCAGGAAGGTGAAAATCTGCAAGATGGTTAATATGGTGATTTTGACCTAGCAATGGTAGACCAGTTGTCTCTGTATGCAGGTGGTTCATTGTTTGGGGTTGTGGAGTCATTGTTTGCATGGATAAAGTGGTATAGATCTTGAAGTCCAATGTGTCCATCTGTGAAATAGGATCTTCCCTACAATGATCCCATATTTGTAGAACTTTGCTTTTAAGAGGGATTTTCATTAAGTTTATGTACATATCCTTGTCACGGGGAATTTGTATGGAGTAGACATATGTAAGGTTGTACTATAAAAATATTTCTATTCTGGACAAAGCTTACACCTTAGATGTTGAACTTATTACTCTTCCTAATTGTCTTTTAATTTCTTCTGATTTCTTGATTTCCTGAGATGTTGATTATGCATTTAAATGAGTCTGAATGATATATTTTCCTCTAAAAAATCCAGTTCAACTTGACTTCTATTGATATGAGGGTTTGATGATTAGGTGACCTCAGGGGCCTTTAACTTTGGACTCTATGGATTAAGTCTCTAGCTGACTTAGATCTCAAAAAAAGCTGATTGGGCTCTTGCAAAGTAGTTGAATGGGAAACTATCAAAGAATCTAGAACTAGAATGGGAGCTTAGAGAGAGAAAAAGAGAGAAATCCTGGAAAAGCTATTTAGGTATTTTAAAAATGATTGGCTGCATCCATGTAATCAGAAGAGTTTGACTAAACAGAGATATTTTTTACTTATAAGTATCATACACAGGGCAAAGGAAAATATGAAAACTAGAAATAATAACAAGGAGAAGGATTAATGACTACTTACCTGCATAAATTTTGTAGAGGTTTTAGATGACTTAGTGTGCTTTAACATGCATAGTCCAAACTTGGCAGTGTGGCCATCATGCTTACCAGCAAATTTGTTGTGCAATTCTGTATATATTTACTGAGGGATGAGTATCTTCAATTTCAGCTTGAGTTACTTCTAAGGGCACACCTTCATTGGTGAGCCTAAGTAAAAACAACATTGGGGTGGAAGCAAGTAGCAGTGGCCATACTTTGGATAGTTGAGTGTAGT